GGCGGGTTGGAGATGCGGCTTTGATGGTTTCACCCGGGATGGCGCTGTTAACGCCGAGAGACCCGTCGACATGTCCGAGATCACCGAGTAAGCCCTAGAGAAGGCCAAGGCAGCAATTTTGGAGACGGTACAAGAGTTCTGGATTTGAGGTGACGGGGCATCTTCGTACACCAGGAGCACACGTTAAGGTGCTTCGAAGATGGACACGCTACCTTTGTGGATGCAGCCAGCTCCTCTTCCTTTCTCTTCCACTCCATCTGCTGCTACCACTACTACTGCATCTACCTCCACGTCTTCTTCCCCAACGCAATCAAGCGTCCCTGACCATCAATCACAAAAACCTTCCCATCGCCAAACACAGGTCTTCCAAACTTCACCGCGCCCTCCACCTTCGGCAGCGGCAGCTCAACCAACGTCCCATTGACCGGCACCGCCTTGAACGCTCTCAGTCCAGCCTGCACATCCGTGGCCCACACGATACCTGTGCCAGGCTGACCTTTGTTGCTGGTAACTGTCGGGAGACCAGCACCACCCCAGTGTCCGTTTATGTCGGAGGACTTGCCAGCGAAGCTGAAGAGCGAGGACGATGCGTTCGGAGTAAATGCGTACGCGGATAGAGCGGTATTGCCGGGGTTGACGTAGACATAACCGCCTTCTAGCGGATAAGATCCAATCGCACCAAAGACCTCGCCTTCCAAAGGAATGGTTTGTAGGATTCCATCTGTGCCATTCGTGCCTTGCAGATATCCACCCAAGCTGTCAACTTCCGTCACATACATCTTCGGATTCGTAGAGGTCGCTATACCGATCCTCTTCCCACTCTTAGTCTTGAAAACATCGCCATCAAGGACAGCAAAACCCCCACTCCCAATATCCTGTCCAGAGTCCGTCTGCCAGTCCGACGGGCGGAAGAAATCCACAAGTTGAATCCCAGCACCACCCGCCTCATCAAGCGTGATACGCGCCACCGTTTCCGAAAGAACACCCAAAGGCTCGTGACCCTTCCTTGGCGTAACATCGAGCGTCGTAGCAGTCGACCCGCCGCCATTATCAATCGTGAAGAACACGTCTTTGCCGTCCGACGAGAGACCCGCGCCAGCCTGCCAGATGCCACCCGCGCCACCACCATGCCAGGCCGTCCAGTCGTCGTTATACAGACTCGCATTTCCTGCTTGCGTAGTCCAAGTATACACATTCTGCGTCGCGAGATTAACAGCGACAACACTTCCGGTGTAGTTGAACGCGTCGCACAGCCCGCCGAACCCCGCATACAGCACATCGCCCAGCAACAGCAGCGCAGGCCGCTGCAACACCAAACCACCGAGAAACGTCTTGCGCATATCGTTATCGGAAGGCTGGCCATCGATAATCATGGGGTATTTGTATAGATCCTGTAGCGTGTCCAGATACACGCCGTAGAGATAGTAAACGGAATTCAAAGGCGGGTAAGCGCCACCTGGTTGTCTGTAGTCCTCGATGTAGCTTTTGACATAGAAGAATGCGATTTCGTTGCCGTCTTCACGGTAGATGACTGGCGTGCCCATTATGCCGAGTGTTTTGCTGACGTGCGTCGTGCAGTAGGCTTGATCCATTGGCCATGGTGGAGCGACCTGGCGCTCGTTGATTAGCTGCCCATTCTCTGCGTCGAAGGTTCTGATGCGATTCTCGGTGGACGCGGTGAACACGATTTGGCGGCCGGTGGAGGAGAGAGTGTGAACGAGAGGGCGCGCCCAATGCTGTGGTTGTGTTAATGACGGGTCAGAGGTGAGGTGCAGTGATGGCAATTTACTTTCTCGTCCGTGTTGAAAGTTGCATTCCAGAGCTGTGTAGAAGTTGAGAGGTCTGAGGGGTCGATGTGGTGCTCGCCGCCAAGATAGGAGGACTGGTAGATGTCGGAGTCTTGGGGCGAGTCGGACGGTGAGCCTGTTCTTTGCGCCGTCGCAAACGTTACAGCGCTAGCTATAGAGACGCAGAGCGCAATTTTGCACGTTAGTGAGCGCATCTTTGCCGTCGATACAGAGGACCAACGAAATGTCGCGCGCATAATGTGGACGCTGCAAGACTTATGAACAGGATGTATGAAGATCGCTTGGCCTCGCGAAAAACAGATTGCATGCAGGGCTATGACGATAGTATCTGCGGATTGTGATCGCTTTCAATCTAATAGTCGTGGCTCGTGGTCGGTACTTGGATCACTTAGATGCCGGGTATTCTCCGCAACCGGGTTGGCTATATCGTCTATATTAGTTTGTGGGGCAGAACGTCGAGCATCATCCGGAAACTCCATGTAGATCAACATCTTGATGTGCCCGAAAGCTTTGTTGGAGGAAAAATGTATGTTCATTCTGATGCTAATTGATACGATAACTATAGATGATGACGTCAGCGCAGCCCTGAGTAGAGTTGACTAGCATGACTTACCTTTTGCGCCGCTTTTACTATGCCGCGAGGGTTCCTCGAAACCCCCGCGTCATAGAAGGCTGGGCTTCCTTTCTCTATTGTTCCCGTTGCTGACTGGGCTCTCTAGACTGTTCCACGCTAGGAACCTGGTCTTCCACTCTCTGCAACAGCGGTACGCGTTCCGCCTCGACGGCATCTCCTCCTTCAGCATCAGGGTAGTACATCTTCTTCCACTCGCCCTTGCCCACTTTGCCAACCCTCCATGTTCCCTGTTCACCCGCCTCTTTGAAGAAGTCCATGTTCTCATCGAATGTCCTGCCACCAGTCTCCGGGAGATAGAAGTACGTCCACAGCCCGGCGAAAGCATTGGTTGCAGCGAAGACCACGAAAATCCAGTAGTCGAGGTTGTTGAACAGGACGGGTGTGAGGAAGGTGATGGCGAAGTTGGCAAGGCCCCAAATGATGACGGAGATAGCGGTGCCTTGGGCGCGAGCGGTGGTCGGGAAGACCTCAGTGGGGAACAACCACACGGTTGAGAGCCAGCCGATTCCGAAAGCGCCGGTGGCCACGAACAAGATGACGGTTCCAATGATTCCAGGGACGATGATGGGAATGTTCATCGGCTCGGAGTTTGCTGCTAAGCCACCGAAGACGCCGAGAAGTGCGAACGAGGTGGCGAGGATGACAGAACTATGGATCATGATCTTGCGTCGGCCCATAGCATCAATCAACAGCCAAGCGAGCGTCATGAGGAAGAAGTAGGACACGTAGTTGCCAAGGGTGAGGTATTCAGAGTTGCGGACTGAGAAGCCTAGGAGCTGTTTTCACATGTTAGTATTGAGTCAAAACCGTACCGCTCTGATCATGGACACAACTTACCTCAAAGATCTGCGGCCCGTACACACTGACTGCACCGTAACCCGTAAGCGCCTGGTTGACCTGGCACATTACCGTGACCATAGTAGGATGGAACTGCTCGTGACCAGGGGTGAGCATATCCATATACCCAACCTTGATATCCTTCTCCTTCTCGTGCTGTTCGAGAAGCTCATCAAGCTTCTCCTTGCCCTCATCTCCATAGATGTCGTCCAATGCCTTCTTCGCATCCTCCTGGCGGTCATGGAAGATGAACCAACGCGGTGATTCCGGAAGGCGTTCAACAAATGCCATCAACAGAACGGGGTAGACCTGCATGACAATGATAGGAACCCGCCACGCCCACTGGTTTTGCTTTCCAAGGAGGATGGTGACGAGCAAGTTGATACCAAACGCCATTACGAGACCGAAGATGTTGGACTGGAATTCCTGGGCCAGCGCTTTACCACGAGAGTCGTCGGCGCTCAACTCGGAGGAGTAGGTGGGAATGACTGCGTCGATGCCTCCAACGCCCAACCCCATCACCACGCGTCCAGCAAGCATAACGCCCAATGCGATCTCCGTGCTCTTTCCCAACATGCCCATTCCGGCTACGAACATGATCAGATTTCCCAAACTAGCTGTTGCCAGACTGGCAAAGATGCTCTTCTTCCTTCCCAACTTATCAGCGAGCATGGAGAAGAGCACAGCGCCGACAGCGCAGCCGAGGTAGTAAACCGCTACGATCACACCCACGACTGGTGACTCCTCTTCGAGGCCCATGGTGGATAGGTAGTCATAATTCGTGTTGATGAGGGACATCATTCCCTGGTCATACCCGTAGAGGGCAATGGCCGTGGCCGAGAAAATGACGACATTGGTTTGTTTGTCGGTGACGGCCTGTTTCGCATGTTCGACGATGAACGACATCGTGGCTGTTGCCTAGATGCGAAGACAAAGCTCCGCGGAAGGTCAATCTGCGAAAGTAGAGGCTCGTAGAAGGTGCACAGCAGGAAGAAGAAGAAGCTGAGGAGGGGAGGAAAGTCTAGATCTTCAACATCTCACAAGCCACAATTCGCGGTAGACGTTTGGCGCTACCGTGCATGTTTCTTGGTCAGCTGGAAGAGGGTTGTTTTTTAACGTATGACGAGTGTATGCAGGGACGCGATGTCGATCTGAGACTAGGTGCTGGGGAGCCCCGCCAGTTTTCTAAGGGGTCTTTTGCTCGCGACGGGCTCCTGTCGGCTCTTTGCTCTTAATCTTCATTTCTTGATTAGACTTGATAGACGCGTCTTCGCGTGCATTTCTTGTAGATACCACAAGAACATGTAGCGCACCATGCAGCTTGCAGCCAAACCGTTGTTGTGCAGCTGCTAAGCTTCAGATCCGCGGCATAAGATCCTTAGCGCCACCAACCGTTAGCGACGTCGCATTCGATCGATCGCATCCTTCTGCCTCACGACATCATCCTCAACTATTCGCTCACCGGGTTGCGAAAAGATCAGTCACCGCTTGTCAAAAATCAAATGCAACATAAGAGAAGGGCCAAGGTATCGCAGGTGTATCATTCATTGTTACTTTCAGAAACGACGTCATGAAGAGTGGTTAAAGCCCTACTAGCGACTGCCATCTGCGCCTTGCATGCATTTGGAGGAGTCGGCGTACCCATAAGGCGTATCTGTAAGGCCGTGCGCACCGATCGCTCTCATCCTTACATCCTGCTACTCTGTTATATGAGAGTCCGCTCAAGCCTTTGCTGAAGCCTCAACCTCGAGAGTCGATGTGGAGGTCTGGGTGGCCTCCCAAGCTTCCCAGGCTTCGAATAAAGCTTGTTTTGGGACGCAGTGTGCAACACGACCGTCCGAAACGCACTTCCAACCCTTACCGCAGTCGGCAGACCACTGCCAGTAGGATCCAGACTGCTCGCAAGTGACAGTCCATTCCGTCTGGGTCGCGTTATTATAAGCGCAGTTGAACGATCCAGGTGAGCAAGACATAGATGGAGCCAGCTCTGATGGGACTTGGAGAAGCTCGTCGCGGGCTCCAATGGTAGGCTTCGCATCCGGCTTACAGTGGGCAGATTTCCCGTCAGCTGCTAGATCACAAGTCTGTCCCTGACCACAGTCGGATGACCACAGCCTGCAGGGGTAGAGATACCAAGTCAGTATATGCATCAAATCCACTTCGTAGAACAAAGAACTTACCAGATCCCTTCTGAAGAACAAGTAATTACCCAGCTGGTTCCTGTGGCAGAGTTGAAGCCGCAACCGAATACTCCAGGCTCACAGGACAGAGATGGAGCAGCACGCGATGAAACTTGGGATGGTTCATCGCGAGCTCCATTTGTCGTATCCCACTCTGGTCCTGGGTTCCAGCAATGCGCGGCACCATTGGATAGCGCGAGGCACTTCAAATCTCCACAGTTGGCAGATTGCACCCACTTGCCCCGGTAGTCGCAGGTCATGATCCAGGTACCCGTTGATTCGTCCTCGTGGCAGGAATAGGTCCCAGGCATGCAGGAAGCCTCACGTTTGGCGGCTGCTGGATCCGTGTTCCACTCCGGTCCCGGGTTCCAGCAATGGGCGGCTCCATCGGATCGCTCGAGGCACTTCAAATCTCCGCAGTTCGACGAGTACTGCCACGCACCCTTGTAGTCGCAGGTCATGACCCAGGCACCCGTTGACGCGGATTCCAGGCAGGTATAGGTTCCAGGCGCACAGGTAGGATCACGCTTGGCCAAAGTGTCCGACTCGACGACGGTGGGGGCCTGAAGACTTTTGTTAGCAATGTGCTATTGCGGGAGAGTGATGTAGTGGTCAGGAGTGAAAATAATCCGTGTCGCAGTTTGCAGTATGCATGCAACTAAATCTTAACAAGTACACACTTGCTAAGATGATGTACACTTCAACCTAGAAAGATCTGCGACACAAATTGTAGCCATCAGAGGTGAGATGGGAGCGAAGCCGAGCCTAGAACTCAGATCTCTTCGAGCTCAATGAGAATGCAGGAGAGTGCTTACATTGCTAGATGCGTCGTTGGACCGTGGAGGTGCCTCAGTAATGTCGGCGTCGTCGACGTCTCGGTCGAACATGCTGGGCTTCTTGCAGCAGTTGCAGTTGTCGCGACACTTCCATCCCTTCTTGCAGTAGTGGTCGGTTTGGCAGAAGCCATACTGGCAGACCAAGACACCAGTGCGATCCTTGGCGCACTCGTAGGTCTTCTTGTCCTCGATATGAATATCCGAATCGACGTCACGCTTCTCGGATGTACCGGGCGAGCACTCAGCACCTCGCTCATTCGCGATGCATTTGACCAGGCAATACTCAATGGTAGCGCAAGCGGCGTTGACGGGACAGGCGAGTATCCACTCATCGTGAGTGCAGGAGTACCTGTAGCGATAAGATTAGTGAATGTTTCTTGATAAACGATGGAGGTCACGTACTTGACTTCGTCGTTGCTCAGGTGCATGGCTGAAGGGTCGCCAACAGCTCGATCCTCGACAGTGGTAGCAGTCGCTGAAGCGGTACACCAAGCGCCTTTGGTATCGTCTTTGCACTTGACAGAGCAGTTCTCGACGAAAGAGCAGGTGCCCGAGCGGAGGCAAGAGAGGACATATTTGTCGCTGTCGCACTTGTACCTGTTGGCAGTCAGTATACTACCCTCTTACAACATGAACGAAAGGCGAGGCGACTTACGTGTGAACATCATCGTTCTCATACTTGGAAGCCGCAGCAGCGGTGGTAGTCTCGACCGGCGAGGCAGCGACGAGCGCCACCAGCCCAGCGAGGGCGACAGTGATGAGCTTCATGGAAGCGTACTTGAAGGTACTGTCGTCGTAGTTGTGTGTGATATAGAGAGTGTGGAGGGGTTGATGGTGGAGAGGGGTGGTGGGGGAAGGTGATGGAAAGAGGAAGAGAAAGGCGGGCTTATATCAACGGAGCGAGGCGAAAGAGCAGGTGCAGGCGTTTGCTATCCCGCTAGGCAAAAGCTGTTGGGAGGCGATTCTCACGCTCAGGGTCCGACTTGCGGAGCGTGATTGTTCGTTGGGTGCCCAGGTGGGGCAGTGGACTGGTGAGATTGGTGAGATAGTGAAGGTGGAAGGAGCGAAGTGCACGCAATCTGTGCTCTGCACCCATCGATCGAACCACCGCACTGATGAACGAGTGAAAAAGCCAAATGAAAATATGACCGGTCGGTATGTAGGAGTTGAAGCATTGGGTATTCTAGACAATAAAGACAATGCACGCGACGACATCCCAAGCAGCTTAGCATACGTCTACACCATTCAACGCAGAAGCACAATCAGGACCACCGAGTAATTACCTTACTACGGCAGTATGATGTATCCACTCTAGGTACCTTCTCACATTGCTGGACCCTACGGGGTAGCGTTGGTGCTCACACGTCATAATAGGCGAAGGTAGCTCATACAAAGGAGCAAGACTCACGCAAATCAGGAACAAGACTGTAGCTTGAAGAAAAGGAAATGCTTTTGATTCATCATAAGGATGCAGCTAGACGTTCAAAATCTATCGGTGACGCAAATGCAGTCAATCATCCAGGCCTCTATTAAACGCCGCGCAATGCAAATCTGCATAGTCTAAGATATCATAATGCGATCATAATCCGAAACAGTTGCAACAACATCTACTCGGCCTCGTCATCAGTGTTGGGTGGCTGAGGAGTACCCTAGTGAAATTGTTAGTAATCTGCATCGATGTGGGTGAAATGGGAAAACACATACCTTGGGACTGTTCAACCAGTCAATGTACCTCAATCTACGCCTGACCTCGCGGTCCTTGAGCTCCTTCTTGGTCATCTTCTTCTTCTTCCTCGACCTGAACTTCATATCGTCCTTGTTGCCCTCGGCGTCACTCATGACTGGAGTACCGGTGGTGGACGGCGCAGCGGAGCTCACGTTGCTGCTAACATTGCTGGATCCGGGACGCGAGTCCTCGAAACGGTCCATGTTGACGGCAAGGTGGCCCTTGTGCGTGACGCGACCGTCGGCGACGTGCCACTGCTCGGGGCAGAGAGCACCCACGAATTCTTCGTTATGCGAGATCATGATCACACCACCCTTGTAGTCGCGGATAGCAACAGCGAGACCACCGAGAGAGTCGCGGTCCAAGAAGTTGGTGGGTTCGTCCAAGACGAGAAGATGGGGGTTGTTCCACATGGCACCAGCAAGCACGACCTTGACCTTCTGTCCTCCGGAAAGGCCAGAAATCTCGTTGTGGTTCGCAATCTCAGGATCCATACCGAGATCCTCGAAATGCTTGGAGATGACCTTGGGCTCCAAGACACGGTAACCGAGACCCTCACGCGACGACTCGTGATCGTCGAACTCCTGGACAAGCTTGGAGAAGCCCTTCTCGAGAAGTGTCTCACGCGAGATCTGGGTGTTGTATTTGGGCAGCATGTGCAACCACTTGACCTCGTACTGGAAGGTCTTCTTGTACTTCGCACGACCAATGAGTGCTTCGATCCTACGGGGGCCTGAGCCGTCGCCTAGATCGATGGGAGTTTCCATCTGCTTCTTGTCTTCCTCGCTGAGCACACGTGTCTGCTTCATGAGCACCTCACGATCGTCACCGTTGGCGTAACGCCATTGGAGGTACTGGTTGGGAGTCTTCTCCATGTGCATCTCGACGTGCTCAAGAGCGTGCTGCTTGATGTAACCGATACGCAAGTTGGGGTGCTTCTCGACGGTACCTTCTTGAGGGACGGTCTCGCCAGTAAGCATCTTGATGAGCGTAGATTTACCAGCACCGTTGGCACCGATAATGGCGACTCGGGATGACAGTGACAAGTTGCAAGAAGCATCGGTGAGCGATGGCTTGGAAGCGCCAGGGTAGGTGTAGGAGCAGTTTGTCATGCGCAGAATGGAGCGAGTGTTCGACTTGACACCAGTGAGGATACCAGGAGGAGGGAACTTGAATTTGACCTGGGTGTCCGAGAGCGTGTAGTAGCTCTTCGCTTCCGGCTTCTGTCGAACGAAATCAGCCAGGTTGCCCTTGTAGCAGACCAGCTTCTTTTGCTCGTAGTGGTAAATGTCGGTGCAGACTTCGTCGAGGAAACCAGAGTCGTGAGAAACGATCAAGCTAGTGATCTCAGTGTGGGACTTGAGGTACTTTCCGAGCCAAGCGACATTGGCAACATCCAGATGGTTGGTGGGTTCGTCAAGGAGGAGCACGTCGGCGCGCATAAGCATAGCACGGGCCAAAGCGAGCTTCATCTTCCATCCTCCGGACAGAGAGCCGACCTTGGCGGACTGCCTGCCTTCGGGGCCAGCGGTGAAGCCGACCTCTTCGAGAACCTCGGAGATACGCTCTCGGCTCTCGTCCGCGAAGCGCGGGTCGCGAACGATGTACTCAAGAATAGAGAGATCAGCGTCTTCTCCCTGGTTGTGCTCGACGAAGCATGTCTTGACTTCATCTTGAGAAGGGAAACCTTCCAGCTTGCCGCTTGCGATACTGCGCATGAGGGTAGACTTTCCAGCACCGTTGCGACCGCAAAGACCGTAGCGGTGGCCCTTGAGCAGGCGAAGGTTGGTGTGCGAGAGGAGCAACATGCCACCGTATCCTAGTGAGAAGACAGCGTTGACAATCTCTGTCTCTCCGTCATCCTCCTTGACGGGCTGGCCGAACTTGCGGTGGTCCTCGTCCACGTAGAACTGGTGGACGGCCTCTGCGACCTTGTCGGCGTCCCCGGCGTTGAGCAAAGGCTCCAAGTAGGGGCCAACGAGCTTTGGCAGGCGCTGAAGCTCGCGCTGATCAACAACCTCAGCAATCATCTCGGAGATGTACCTCTTGGTGATAGCCAAGACCTCCGCGTCTCCGGGGAAGTCAAGGAGGTTGGCAGAAGCGGTGGTCTGCTTCTCGATGACCTTCTGAACATCCGATGGTTGTGTCCTTGCAATGGCGCCGCTATCGATGTTGTGGTCTGGGTCGGCCATGGCCTTCTCGATAACGTCGAGCGCACGCTGGCCGATCTCTCGGACTTCAGGCAGGGAAGCGCGGTCCTTGACGGACTGCACACCTGGGCGAAGCTTGGGCAAAAAGGCGCGGGCCTCGATAGGGTCGTGAACGAGCTTGGTCAAGTTCTCGACTACGACGACAGTCTGGCGGGTGACCTCCTGTGATGTGGAAGGCATGTTCAGAGAGCGCTCGAGCAGAGGTGTGACCATAGCAAGGACGGGTGATGTGACAATAGCGACGAAGGTGGTCTGGGAGAGAGCGTGGATGGCCTTCTGCAGACTTGTTGTGGAGGGGTCTTCGATGGCCTTGACGAGGAGGGGTATCCGGGGCGCGATATCGTCGTTCTGGAGGAGGGTGGTAAGGCTGTTCATCGTCTTGACAGACTGCTTTGCGACCTGCTCGTGGTTAGTACGGTGGCTGTAGAATAGCGGATGGGGGACCTTACCTCGCTCTTGAGATCGTGCATGCCGGCCTCGACGATAGGGATGAGACCCTCGAGCTTCTTGCCCATGGACTCGCGGAGAACATCCTTCTCCTTCTCGACCTCGAGGCTCTCCATGCCCATCTTGGCCTTGTCGGCCATGCGGCCGATGAGTTCGTAGGCGAAAGCAGCACCCTGCCACTTTCCGGACTTCTTGCCCAGGTACTTGGTCAGCACAGGCAAGAGGCCGAAGACCTTGGCCTCAGCGCTGAGGTTCTCGAACAGCGAGTCGAGAGCGTACTTGGCCGACTCCTTGACGGAGCCAGTCTTGTCTGCCAGCAGGTCAAGGACCATGGGTACCAGCCCTTCGTTCTGAACGAGGAAGATGGCCTCTGTCAGGCGTTGTGTGCGCGGAAGGCGCTCGAAGAAGGCACCGAGGGCGTTCATGGCGCCCTCTCTCCGCACGGCATCCTTCTTGTTGGCCGCCGATTTCTTGATCTCCTCGAGTATGCCATAGCCAGTAAGGCCGCGGAAGCCTACTGAGTTCTGGAGGAGGGTGGTGAGGGCGTAGGCGGCGTCGACCGAGGCGTGCGACGTCTTTGCGGTGACGATGCTGCTGATGAAGGCGTTGACATCCTCCTGCGAGGGCGCAGGGGCTACGCTGGCCTTGTCGACGACAATAGCGGGAGCCATAGGCGGCGACTCAGAGTGCGGCATCTGCGAGAGAAGCCGGTAGGGGTGAGTGGTGCTGCGCTGTGAATCTGCGACGAGCGATTTCTTTTTGGTGGAGGGGCTTATCGATACGGTCTGGAATTATTCGCGGCGGCTCAAGCGTAAGCGGTGCCCAACAGCGCGAGAGGGTGAAAACCCCGGGTATCAAGCGTGGATGTAGAGACGCCCCAACGGAAGAGTGGAGAGTCTATACAATACAGGAAAACTGAAAAAGCGAGGGCAGATAGACGGAAGGGAGCGTGGAGGGGCGGCTTGTATATACGCGCGCTGGCTGCACTAAAATTGTTCAGATTCTGATTATTCCACCCACGGGTCTGCATGGTTTTCGCCCGCCCTAGTCCCCTTCGGCTCCCTGCATTCCTGATGTTCGCCGGATATACCTTCCTGCGCCCACACCGTATCTCTGCTTACCAGAGCACATGCCTAATTGGCTCACGCTGAAACATGGTAAAGGAAACTTGTCGACGCGACTCTGATGCGACAAACTCAAAAGCCCGAGAGGCTTCGAAACCTGGCTTGCGGTGTCGCACGCGTCTCGCCCAGTTACAACTAGACCCTGAGGCCCGAGCATCATATGCGTGTTCCTACTTTCACGCTCGTTGCTCCTCGTCGCATCCGTCACTTGTACCACAATTTCGTCTTTGAATACCCCAGAACACTGTCTGCAGGACTACTGCCGGAACAGCGTAAGGCACGCAAACACTAACGGCGTTAGCGCGCGAAAGTCTCAACAAAAGGATTGAGCGACTTACTAACAAAGTACCTGTAGCCGATGCTAGCAACGATAACTGCCGCAGGTACACAAGACCCTATCCACGAAACGAGGCATTGTATATGCTATCTCGATATCAGAGACCGCATGTTGGTAAGCAGAGGCTCAACGCTGCACATGGCTGTGAGGTGGAATAAATTCATGTGGTCAGCTGAACATACATATGCGGCAGGCGAATGTCGCAGCTCATATGCCAGTCCATAGGTGTCTTGCACTCCAAACATCACAACGATTTAGACGTTCTAGGACAGAATATGGCCAGAGTACTAGTCTACTTCAAAGGTTCGGTCTGCCTTTCCCCACTGTAGATAGCGATGCTGCCCTACCTACTGTCATTCACGCATCGGATACTTTGTCAAGGCCATATTGGGGTACACCGTGGTTGAGTATCAGAGGACATAGATTCCGCTCGTAGCATCCGCAACGGCCAGAGAAAGCACGAAATTGACATTTGTTGTTACAACATATTGCTTTGGGGCCTAGAAAATTATCAAGATTGATGCATCACATACAAAGCAATTAAGTATCGGTAAATCACAACTATACAAGGGCCGCTTTGGGACTACGTATACTGAGGTCTGCGCTTGGAGTTTACGATGCTTCCATGCTACAAAGAAGGGGAAAGGCTTATACAATGTTCCTTGGGAGTGCTGAATGCTCAAATCATGTATTTCATGTTGTAGCGGGCGCGTTACGAGTTTGATACAACGACCACGGTACTGCGGTGAAGCATCCAACAGCACTCCAGCGAACCGCCTCAAAGCTATCACAATCATCTCGCAGACCAAGGTACAAATTTCATAACCCGCCCAAACCAAGCCAAGAGTCTAGCGAAAGTCAAAGGCGCATCCTCTTCTTCGTTGATACTAGGCGCTACACGGGTGGCGACACACGCCCAGGCCGAGGTGAAAATCGAGACCGTCCAAGCTATGGCCGATTGCACAGATACTAACAGGTAACATGTGTCTGGAGGAGTCTACTCGATCACTTCGACAGTTAATGAGTGCCTGGATGAGGCTTGCGACCATATGACGATGCAGACCCGAAGGTGCCCTGGCACCCATCCAAGGGAAGAAGTGGACAGCTACCTCCACGAAGTAAATCTAGAAGAAAAAAAGCTAACAAGACCAAATTGCCTTAGCATCTGTTAAAGCTCGTGTCTTTGTTCTAATAGAGACTTTGGCGCACCTGTTCAGCTTTTCCTTTGTCTGAGGTACTGGAGGGTACCTAGGTAAGAGACGCGTCACGTGGAGACGACGCGACAGAAAAGGACGCTAGTGGTCAAATTTCCGCGCTATCGCGTCATCGTTCTTGCGCGCGTACTCTGCAACACAGCAGCCACCTCAAGAGCGGTTGCACCTCCCAACTTAGCTCAACGCGCTTTCGCTCAAGATCACATAATCTATCCAGGCTACCTACGATGAGCCTGGATCCAAGGGTCACGCCTCGCGACGGTCACAGAAGCATCGCATTGATGTAATGCGCGTGTCTTACGCGTTGCGCTCGCTCATTGTCTCCCAGAGAAGATGCCCTCATCTCATTCGCAGCTTCTATTCAATGTAGGAGGTTGCATACGATATCTCGATCGGCTGCGCGGAAGCCACACTTCTGATGAATGATATGCAAGAGCAGTTCAAGGATCGGAAAGTACCTGAAAGACACTCCGGATAGCTACCAAAGCATTTCCGGTGGCCTTTGGAACATTCACCGCATGCGCTTCGGTGGCTTAAGTTTTTCCATCGCGAGTCGAGGCGGCTACACTGCGAATTCCAGGGATTTACATCACCCTATCATCAGTTGTGACAGCTACAGGGCCGCCCATGGACACAGGTTTGTTCTTTCCTAACATCACCGTCAGCAGCAGTGGCAGTGGCATACGTACACGAGGCATCTGCTCACAAGCTCGGGTCATGTCTACTTCTGTCCTGACGCATCTCTTACACTCTGCATCATTATCAATCCATTGTCAACATCGTTACCTCAACACATCATTGTCTCACACTTCCACCATTGTTAGCATATCGCCCGTTACGGTTTCCAACTACCCACTCCGATCGTTTTCGACATCTCATTCGATACCGAATTTTCTAGCACTACGATAACCATCAATAATGGAGAACACATGGGGTATGCGGCCTGCATCGTTGGGAATGAACTGTTCAGCCGCGCCAGCAGCTTTCATGTGGTCGGATACGTGTCCTTTCGGCATGCAACAGTTCCAGGGATCAGTCAACGAGACACTTCCCACCCAGAGCCACGAACCCCTCGCCGATGTGCTTGAGGAAATCGGAATTGGAACCACAAACCGTTCCTATACAGTTCTAGACATCAAAGCATTCACAGATTCCCTTGGAGGCCGCCCGATTTACAATCGCCACATGCTTCGCAACGGTGGGTTACAATTGGCACGAGCTCGCCGTGACTTGCCGCTCATTTTCTTGGATTGCTATGGCAAACCAGTGAAGGCGATCCAGATACCTAAAGGGTATCTCAATGAAAAGTAAGTTCAACATCTACCTACACATCACACAAAGCGCTCAGCATAATAATGTATTGTCAGTCGAACTCTTGGGTTACAATACCACCCAATGCATGCGCTCACCGAGGGGTTCCAAGCTTGCCGTACCCGCGATATGGTCCCAGTTACCTGGAAAATCTATGAAAGCGCCAAAGAACATGCCGACAACGAAAAGCTTTCTAGAATGAGATGTCTCATGAGACGTTATCAAAAACACTGGGATGAGAGTGGCGCGCGCCAAATCTTGCTCGATCGCCTCCAAAATCTAAAACACACAGCTCGGATCACCAACATCGTCTGCATAGCTCTGGGAACTCTACAAGACGAAAAAGCATGGGGTGCCGGCCCGAGAGAACAGCATATCATGGCTTCTTTCCTTGCTCAAGAGCTCACACGGATGTACGAAGAGCAGGGTATGCCGCGCCAGGAACCTATCACGATAGTTGCCCAAGATCCTGCTTACACCGCTCTCGACCGTCAGCTCCTCTCCGAGCTGCCAGTACCGATCAAGACTGTACAGGACCCTAAGGGTTTCCTAGTCATAAACGAATCTTCGCTTGTCTTTTCAGTCAAACCAGTGGTACCAATCAAACAAATCATCGCGGATCTTGCAAGCGAAGCACCGGATGGCAAGGGTCCTGCTGCCATGTTTCTGGGCGACAACTACGTGGACATATCTTTGGGCGACTTGGACTCCGTCACGTACTACGCTAGGGACGAACGCGAATACTACGCCAACCCGGAGACATGGAGCTATGTGACAATGCTCGAGTCTTATATACCGGTCATGGCTCGGGAAGATTGGCCAACGGAGTACAGATGGCATGCGTATGGCAGCCACTGGCTTGCAGACCTGGCACTGTGGGCACGTGAAGAGTAGCTTCATGCTAGTATGCTCTTTGCTGAAGGTATATACGCACAACAACCAGTCCTGAGCGGGTATCATCACCCGTACTAAGGGTTCCACGTTAGCTTCAATCAATGCATATCGTTGTACTCCTATGTTCGGTCTCCACATCGGTGCATGATGACGTACCTTCCACTTTTTTATTTGCTTCTATCTGAGTGAGACGGCTCGCCAGTACTAGGTACGTACGTAATTGAACAATGATATTCGACATCTTACATTGCCTATTGAGACGAGCGTGCTACTTCTTCGCATTTGAATTGGTCGAGTTGCAGTGTCTCTATACATTGCTACGCACACTCATCAACGTAGCTTAGGCATAAAGCTATCCGTAGCTCAAAGATTACTAAGTTGGCAAGGCACTTAATAAGCTCTTGTGTTAACAATACTTCTCTTTTTAAAAGAACCTAATTATATAAGTATATATAAATTTTAGAAGTTATAAGTTACTTATTATAATAAGTTATTAAGTATACTATAAAATAAAGGTAATAGTTCTAAAGTATAACTTTACGTATATAATAACTATATAAGTTAGAAGTAGAGTATATAAAGTAACTACTTTAGCGTTATTATTACTTATATAATATATATATACTATAGTATTTTTTTCTACTTTTATTACTTTTAAAATCTTAATCTAACTATATATTTTTATTAATATTAAATACTACTAGCTTTTACTTACTAATATAGTAAAAGTAACCTACTACTAAGTAGCTATATAGACTAAGTATTATTAAAAAATACTTATAAATATAATTTTATACGCTTAATAAAGTATTAAGTTATATAAGTTTTATTTTAAGCGTCTACTTAGTACATAATATAATATAACTTATAATAAGTATATACTAATAGCGTATAAGTCTATACTAAGTAAGTAAATACTTTTTTTACGCTAAAATAGCTATAGTAAATATACTACTTATTTATTTATATTAGCTAAGTTACTAGCTCTTTAGAGTAGAAACTACTTTTCTTACTTAAAGTAATATTAGTAGTAATATAAAATAGTAGAGGTATACTAATGTACTTTTTACTTTTTATAAAGTATAAGTTAAGATATAAGTTAGTATTTAAGCTATTTTTTTAGATAGTAAAAATAAGTATAGAACTTTATACTAGAGTAAATAAAATATATTATAAAATATATAATTGTATAAGTAATAATAGCTGCAGGTAAGACACAAGGGGCACTTAATAAGACTGCAGTCGCAGCTTTGCTAAGAAGAAAGCTTCCCCCGCGTATGGATTAGAGCCTACCAATCTTATATTTCTCTATAGTGAAAATTCCTACCAGAGACATCCCCGCCAGGGACTTCATGTCAACTGCATCATTCGCTTTGTTCCCTGTCCCCAGCTTAGCCATACTCTCTGTGGAACGCATACACGCGAATGCGATGTTAGGTAACAGCGAAGACGTGATTATCTTACCTCTTCCGCTGTCGTTGGTGTGCCCGTGATTGCCGTTCTCATCCCACGTCGTGGATATCACTAGTCGAGACGTCTCAATTTGGGGTGTAAAATGCCAGCACGCACATAACGTACCAAATCATACACATACAAGCTATCACTCGCTGACGTGGCGTACATGGCACAGGTGACGTTGTTAGAAATGTCGTGTGCAATCGTAGGTGGCCAGAGAAAGTTGGGTATGAATGTAGTCACATATACATGAAACTGGGAAGCTCAACAGAGTGTAGCGATAGCGCTGTCTCGGTGGATTCATTTGGTACCGCGAGGGATGCGCATATCACGCTTCGTCATCTGGAATGGCATTCCTTGATTTTGTGGTCTTTCTATGATCAAGGGAAAGATTTTACTATCGAGCTCTGCTTAGTCTCCTTGAAGGTGCCCAAATATGCACTCTTAGCAGAATGTATCGAGAGACATACGATCGGCTGTGTTCTTGACCTAGGTCACTTCACATTGGCGTATCGACTGCGGAGTATTTCCCGTAAGCAACACCGCATACAGTCCAATTCGCCATCCGTATACGGCACAATACACCGCACTGGCATAGACACAGCCATACACCAACCCTTCACCCGAGCCACACACTGACTTCTCAGCCGTCACAACCACGTCACCACCCTCCATCACGACCAACCTTCTGCAAACGCCAGCCCCATCTTTGTACCCACGCGCGATCACCTCAGATCATAGATCCGCGCTAATCCCGCATCGCATCATCTTGCGACTGTCAAGAATCCTTCGCTTACCCTTGACAGCTCATTCTAACAACACACCGTCGCTTTTACTAACAAAATGCAGCAAGACTCATTGGCCGGTGGCAGAAATGAACGCACGGAAAATCGACGATGAGGAGACGAATAGCGAGCAGACTAGACAGAGAAGGCAGTCCTCGCTTGCGGCTTTAGTGTATGGCAAGCTTGCATTCGCGTGTGCATAAAGGCGCGCGTGAGCGACTGAGCGAGATGACTATATGGTACGGTGTACACCTAAGCGATTCGCCAGACAAACGAAAAGGTTGAGGTGAAGCGAATGTGCAGCGTACATATAAGGCGCGGCATTATTCCACGGAGACCCTTCCATCCGGCGTCACTGTACTGTAGAGCTTGGTGCACAGAATGGCACACGTCATACGAGCGTGGAGAGAGCAGCAGTGCAGAAGGGGCGGATCAACGGCGCATATGCGGAGAGAAAAGAAGAACCGCTGCCGGAACCAAGTTAGTAGTTAGTAGACTGGGGGCCTGCCATTATGACCCAAGCCTTTTGGCGAATTGGCGGGATATACGAGGTAAGAGATGCAGATGATAAGATTACCCTGGTATAGAGCGAGGGTGCGTGATGTGATGGGGGAAGGGAAGGGAGGGATGGGATTGCGGCGGCTCCGAGCTCGGGTAAGCTGGGGTGGCTGGCTGGGCTGCAGGATGTGTGCGGGAGTGCAATGAGTTATGCGTGCGTGCTCTTACTTCTACCAGGGGTGTGGTTTTCCCACGAATGACGTAGAAGGATTGCAGTGGCAGGTATATTGCTTGCCTTGCATTTCTGGTACAGTAACCAAGACCCCTTCCTCGTGTTCCGACCAAGATGTTGTTCCAGTATGATGTCGGTCACGTATCGGAAAGTGGGGGCTTCGGAGTGTCTTGATCTGGGACCTTGGTGATAGACGTTGTGGGCCCGTTCATGTCGTCATACTTGCCTCCGTTGCGGCATATCAAGTTTGGAGCACGCAGGCTGGCAGATCCCGCACTGGGTTCGGGTATCGACATGATCCAAGAAAGAAGCTAAACAGATATTGCGATGTACGTTACATCTCGTTCAACTTAGGCCCGCATACCACCCCCTTCCTTCGGCTGCAGGTAAACGTCGTCGGCGAAGTACCAATGTATCTGCGACGGTTTTCACGCACGGCACAGCAACTTACTGCATTGCTTGCGGAGCAGATCGTATCGCATGCATGCAGTCTGGCAGAGAAAAATAAAACCCATATTCCTGAGCGATCGAGATTGCACGGAGCTTACCAACATGGGGTAGGTCAAAGGAAGCAAGGACAAAGACCCATGCTATGATCCTCAGGCTGCATAAGCCCGACCGGTATTACATGGCCACCACACGTAAAAGCCCTTACCCGGAGTTGATGGAGATTAGGTTTAGATAGAGTGATGTCCACGTACACATTTGACTTGGGCGGTGCGGCTCCCGACAGCCAGGTCGATAAACGTGGATCTGCTGACAGTTTCACGTTGTTAAAGGACCGACAGACCGTGACAGTGATCTTGTGCCCCACCCTTGCTCACGGCAGTGTCGTTTGCTGCGCGCTGTTCGGCGATATGCAATGCAACACACCCAATATTCAGTTGCAGCAGTAGCTTCGGAGTATACTGTTGCAGCTGCATACACTGAAGCGCCTCGCAGTAATAACAGGGTCACTGGGTCATCAAACTGCGAAGCCTTTCGCGACCTTTTCGTCTTTGTCGCGGGGCCCGACATCCAAAACCCCGGCGCGGTTATGCCCTTACGTGTGATGACCTTTGCAGATTGGGATGTAGCGGGTGGGCTTCCGAATGCGAGATATGCGCGGGTGCCGACACACGAACTCGATCTCAGACGGACAGGCTGATCCGTAATCATTGGAAAGCACTTGGGATCTGCCCGCGGGACCGGGTCTCACGTGTGCTAGTCATTAGAAGCCGAAGTTCAAACGGAGATCGTGGGTTCGTGATTGACGTGTCGTGGGCCCCTCGGGCTAATCTTGCGGTGCATCCTTCGACTCCTTCACATCGTCGATGGGCTGCGCATTCGTGTCCCGCAGAGAGCTTCCTTCGGATAGACGTTGCGGAAAAAACAACATCAACGGTCACTAACGGCTTAGGCCACTGCTTCAGCATAATACCAGGTCTAGAGTCCAGCGCATTGACAGCGGCAAACTGGTGAGCTTGGTCCTGCGTTCATTATGCACCTGTGAATCGACCGCCGTGTGAACAAAACTCTCCTTGAGTACCCCCTGGCGCTATAATTGCGGATCATGTTGAGCATAGATCGGCGCCGATCGCGACTATGTGATCCTTCTGGAGCACTGCGAAGGGAGGAAGATTCCCAGTGGTGGAAATCATGTGGCGGGATACAGGCCGTATGCGGATGTCGGACCACTTTTCAGAAGCAAGCCTTGTGCTGCCGCGGGAGACTCTCAGCAGGTCACGTATTGACTCCTCACCCCGTCGCATTGCTGGCTTGAATAAGGAAGAAACGGGGTAACACTAGATGCGACTCCTCGAGATCTGACACTTGGAGTAGACCGGATACGGTGAGCAAGGCCGTGAGCGTGTAGCAGTAGCAGCGATCTCATGGTATCGCCGGTAGCGTTGTGATGGCGCCGACCAAACGATACTAACGTCCTGTCACGCAACGTTCACGAATAAACTCGCTGAGCGTCAGCCACGCGGAGGAGGGTGCGCTAACGATTTCTGCAATGACAGGGGAGTGAGGCAGGCCGACGCGGACGT